CTATCTTTCCATTGGCAAATGGAGATTTCTTTCATGTCTGAAGGGGGATTCCTTAGGAGGGAAGTGCCTTGCAGGTTGTGCTCCTCTGCTGCTTATTGTTTTCTTTTTAATGGTCATGCTTTTAACTGATTTGAATTCAGAATTCAATTCTATAGTACTTGGAAAGGATGTTAGCTTTTTTCATACACTCTCAGACCCAGAAAACCTGCCTTTGTCCCCATAAATCAGAAATGACTTGAAGGAACAGAGCAAGAACAAAAGCTGCCTTGAGCCCCAGACTGGGGAAAAGAAGGGATATAAATCAATACAGTAACAGTAATAAGAATAAACTCACTGGTTGACTTTGATTAGTTTAATGTATGTTACAAGATTATTGTAAGAATAAAATGAGAAGGGAACAGTATGCTGTACTGAGGTCAATGAAATTAATGTACAGCATAAATGCAATAAAGAAATAAAACAATCAATAATACATTAATAAAGCAATTAAAATAAAATAAGTAAAGCCAATAAAGCAATTGTTATTGTGTGCCTCCAAGTCATGTTTGACCTAGGTGACCCTATCATAGAGTTTTCTTGACAGGTATCTTCAGAGGGGGGTTGTAATTGCCATTCTCTGAGTCTGAGAGAGTGTGACTTGCCCAAGGTCACCCAGTGACTTTTTATGCTCAAACCGAACCTCGATTTCCAGAATCATAGTCTAATGCTCAGACCACTACACCATGCAGGCTCAATATAGCAACTAGTACTAAATTAATAATTTATTAATAACTAATAGGGTTGGCTAGTTTAAACCAAATGACTTTTGTTGTAAACCACTCTTGGGTTTCTAAATGGATTATTTATATATATATATATATATATATATATATATATATGTATAACTCTGGCTATTGTTACTATTTTCCTTCCTTCTTACTGGAACAACAATGACTGAATTTAAATTTTTTTAACATTAAGAGTTAATTGGCAGTTGGTAGACCAGTCAGTATCTTGTGTCATTTGTTTCTTTTTAATCACTTTATTTTATAGTGCAAGAAATGCCATTCAGAAACAGATCCTCCAGTTCACATAAGCTTAACCAAAACAACTTGTTTTAAAATATACCTTTTAAATAAAATTATTATTTAAGCTGGTGGCCATAACATCTGAACTGAATTTTACGGCTTAATTTTCTGATTTAGTCCTAGATTGGCATAGTCCTTTAAATTTATCCAAAAATTAGTTAAAAACAAGCAAAACAGTTTAAACCCAAAATATCCCTGGCTTTTGATTGTTTTTTTAAATGACTAACCCTGTTAAATAATATAATTAATAATAATAAAATATATG